AACTGTCAAAATCTTAGCTCTGAAAGGGTCTTCCCCCTTCTGTGGCATTATCTCATACCAGTAGGCCACTGAGCCATAACTGAAAAGAACTCCAAAGTGCCTGAGCCTGAGCATTCTTGACAGAAGAAAATCAAGCATCAAGATGGCACCAAGTTGCCAGGGGATCCAGTCTCTACTTACTGAGAGAGTCACACATAAATTCATGATCTTTAACACAGTTAACTTTTTCATTACAAAAGGCCATCTAATTGCTGTTGTGGAATCTCACAAATCCAATTAGCAACTCCCTCTTTCTCAGTCAGGTTGGAAGGAGGAGGAAAGGAAGTTAAACAGTTAATTGATTTCTTTAGGATGGAGAAAAGATCTAGAGGTTTTCTTTCTCATGGTTTTATAATCTTTTTTTGTTTTGCTCTGATTTTAAAATAAGCTCTATACAAATATAACATCCATACCAAAAAGTACACAAATAGTAAGTATACAGATCAGTGAAGTTGTATCAAGAAACAGAATATTACCAGGATCCTGGAAGCCCCCTTAGGCACATGTCTGCCCACCCCCATGGTAACAACTATTTTGAATTCTGACACCAAAGATTAGTTTTTCCTATTTTTTACTTTGTAGGAATGGAATCATAATATAGTAGGTATGTTTGTATTTGGCTTCTTTTGCTTTTGTTTATAAATCCATAGTGTTATATATAATTATAAAACATTCTCATTGCTGTATTATAACCTGTTATATGACTGTACCACTACTTAGTTATTATTTTGGTTATTATAAGTGGTGCTGCTGTGAATATTCCTGTACGTGTCTCTCAGCAGGCATATTTACACATTAAGATATATCAGTATACCTGAGAGTGAATTGTTAATTTTTATAGGATATGTTGAGTGTTTGCTGATATTGCTGAGCAGTTTTCCACAGTGGTTGTACCAATTTATAGTCGCATCCTCTGTGTATGAGAACTTCCTTTGCTCTGAATCTTTTGCATTTAGAATTGTTAGTCTTCTTTATTTTAGCTATCGTGGTGGTTGTGTATTTCATAATGGCTTTAATTGCATTTCTTTGATCACCGATGTGGTCAAGCAACTTTTTATATGTTTATTGGTCCTTTAGGAAGGATCTGTTCAAGTTCTTTGCCTATTTGTGTCTGATAGTTCTCTGTCCTTTTCTACGAGGACTTCTTTATATACTCTGAATAGGAGTCCCTTCCCAGATATATGTATTGCAAATATATTCTTTCACTCTCTTAATGGTGTTTTTGTGATGAACAGAAGTTTTTAAAAATTTCAGTATAGAATAGTTCTTTTCCCATTATGATTAGTTCTTTGGAAAAAAGTGATCCTTTCCATATAGTCTTTTTAAATGGCATTTGTATAGTAAGATTTTACCTGTAGAGTAAGGTACTATTTTGTTAGATATGCTTTTATTAGATATCCAGTGGTAGATAGAAATGGAAGTAGGATTTTATAAATGAATGTGTCAACCAGTTTTGTTTTTCTTTTATGAAAAAAGCAAAGATGAGTGGACAGAAACATTTTGTGTTATAAGAAAATATTTTGATTTATTTTAATAAAGAGAAATCAACTCATTTTTTCTTCTGATTAAATGATGTACACCCCCTTTTAATTTCTACACACTTTAAACAACTTAGAAATTTTATTCCTATGTATAGAATCAATACTTACAATTCCTATAGAGTCACCCAATTTTGAAAATAATTAGAAGTATCAATAACTGAAAAAAAATGTACCTAATGTTGTTCTAAATGTGGCTGATCATACTTGTGTTTTTTATGTAATTTTTTTCTTTTAACATTTTCAGAACTTTTTGAAAATGAGCATGTTCGTATTGGACAAAAGGGTAAGCTTTGAATTATATTTGTTATAATTTCTGAAAAATGAGACAGACCTAGCAAAATGTCTGCTTTGGAAACCTCCAAATGAGATTTAATCTCTGAAAAGCTAAAAACCTAAAGAAGAGTCATATTTCACCATGCAGATTGTGTAATGAGAGTCTTTACAAAGAGGGAAGATGTATCGTTTTGGCTTTGCCAGTAAATATCAGATAAAGATGTACACAGCTTGTTCGTGACAAAGGAGATGTGGACACACACTCCTCAGGGATGTTAGCTTAATCCATTCAGCAGTAGAGTTTCATTTTAAAATCAAATGGCATGTTCTCTCTTTGATGCACCCACACACCTCTCCTTAGACTTACGGGGAAGGTGCTCCCGCAGCAGGAGAAAGTGTAACTCTAATAGTTTTTGGTGACTGTTTACAGTGGCAAGGTTTAATAACCAACACGGGTCTCAGTATTAGGGATTATAATTTTCCACCATATTTTGAAGATTCTTTTCTTTGTTTTTATAAATGCTGTTTTGTCTTTGAAATATGAAGTGCACATAGGCCTTTGTATCAGAGTAAACCCTCAATGGCAGTTGTATTATCATGCACCGAACTCCCTAGTTTAATTTTTCCATATCATATTTATTTTGAAGACTTTATTTGTGTGACTTGGCACCTTCATGAAACATAATGGCAAAGTAAAGAATATGCTTCATCTCTCTTTTATTTCATATGATCTCTTCTGCTTATGTCATTTTCATTTAGTGTAAGATTTTTTCCTTTACTTTTAAGAAGAAAATGTAAAAAAACAGTATTGTTAGACAAATAGCAGAAGTTGTCTAGTATGGTTGTTTTTAAATTTTTGTTTTGTTTTGTTTGAGGGGAGGCCTTTATTTCCAGACTGAATAGCTGATACTAGCACTAAAGAAAATAAAAATAAAAATGAAAACAAAAGATAATATATTAGTTTTGTAAACTTGGGTGCTAAAGGATTTTTTGGCCTTCTTAAAAGGTTATCAAATCTTTGTTTTTACTTTTTAAAAAATCATCTTTTCTTTTGATTTTGGTAAATAGCTAAGAAGTCACCTAAAAATATAAATATCTTACATTCTCGTATTATGATTATTAGCCAAGTTACTACGTGAGCCATACTACTTCCAAATATTAGAACATTCATGACTTAGTAGAGTATACATTAGAGATTTAGGATCCCTGTAGATATTACTATGTTTGACTGTAGAATTTGAAAAGTATTATATATGTGCTTTACAGATCCATAAAGCCATAGTTAAAGCAAAGTGATCTCTCAAATTCCTTACATTAAATAGCTTTTACCAGTCTAGGTAGGAGATGCAGGAGTTTCACACTTGAAACTTGGACGGCTGTAAATAGGGTCAGTAATGACATCCAGAGAGTAAAAAAAAAGGTCAGTATATGATGTAATTATGTTAGATAGAAAAACTAAATGTCATTTCCCAGAGATTTCTAATTAAGGATTTCAGTGATGTTTTTGCTTTATGAATTTTCTAATGAGATTGTGATCTCTCTCCTTGTGACAGTCCTCGCAGAACAAGATAGTGCTGCTGCCCAGCAGTACATACGGCAAGGCAGCCCCACGGCTCTGAGAGCCGAGCTCTGGGCGCTCATCCTCAATATTTCCAGCCAGCCTGAGGTAAGAAGAAAAAGCCGAGGCCACAACGGAGCTGTAAAGAGTGATTATTGAAAAGAGCAAAACTTTTGCTTCTTCATCCATTATTTTTAAAATCAGTAGTTTTGGGCTCTAATACAAGATTTAACATATGATTTAACTGGTATATGCTTAATATAGAAGTTTTTATTAATTATTATTAATGAAATAGTGTGACTTTCTGTATACAACAAAACAATAGGTAATATTTTGAGAAGGGGGCCTGACAATTTAAACCAGTGAAGATGGGTGTAGACTTGGGATGTCAGAGCAGGGAGAAGTGAAGGAAGGGCAACTGGGTTTAAGTAAATGAATTCTTTATCCCTTTGTTACCTTGGAAATTTATGCTATTTTTTGTGGTTCTAAAAATTGGTAGGTTATGTGGAAATATTTTTCTGAGAACATTTTATTTTAGGAAATATGATTATGAAGAGAAATCACCAACAGATAAGTAATAGATCAATAAAGAAAAATTGCATGAAACATTGATTATTCTTGAAATATTCTTAGTGGGGATTCTTTTCCTTAAGCTCATTAACGATGGAAGTTATACATTCGAAAAGCTTTAATGACTAGCACACTAATAGTTTCTGGCCTACTAGTTAAAAACAAAGGTTTGAGAATCACGTAGACCTGGTTTCAACTTCTGTCTCCTCCAGCTTCCTAGAAATAGATCCCCGAACAAGTACTTACATTTCTTAAACACATCCTTAAATATAGGTAATAATATTAATATTTATATCACATAGCTGTCAAGAGAATTAAATGAAATAATATAGATGAGTATTTTTACACAGTGCCTGAAATATAAATGTCACCATTGATGTTAGTAATTATAATAATTATATATCATATATAATGATGTTATAAATTAATTATAAATATTAAAAGTTTTTTAAAAATCAAACATTATTAATAACTATTATAAAAACCACACTTCTGACCCTTGTGAATTATATATGCATGTGTGTGCATGTGTATTGTATATTTTAAATCTCCTATAAAACAGCACTATCAAAAATCACTTCCTTTTTGAAAGAATAAAGCTTTTGGTTTATTTCAGAACAGTTAATATAGGCAAATCATATTGCTGATCCTTTGTGGTGAAACTTTAAAAGTAACAGTTTATGAAATATATGTATGTTTTGTATATATATATAAATACATATAGAGAGAGAAAAATATATTTTGTATATATGTATTTATTGAGCAAATATATATAGAGAGAGCAAAATATATTATGTATACAAAATATATATATTATATATATATATATAGAGCAAAATATATACATATAATAATATATACCTTGAGTATTTTTTTTCTAAGTGTCTCAATTCTCATATAGAAGATACATAGTGTAACTCTTGTCCCAACCTAACTTTGTAGATGATCTGCCGACTTCACTGCTCAGGAATTAAGTTAACATAGTCTTTCTTTTTGCAAAGAAAGTATTGGCATTTCACATGCAAATTTAGAAGGCTTCCAGAAATATCATTCTTAAACCCAGTGATCTCAAATAATAATAACACAGTAATCTCAGATAATAATTGTTTATTACAGTGTTCTAAAGTGGTTTTTACACCTGAATTTTACAACTGTAGCCATCTGAATTTTCAAAATGCAAAGTGAGACATCTATTCCATATCCATAATTTAATATTTTCATAAAAAGTCTTGATTTTATTGATTAGAACCTCTTTCATCACTTATACGTAATTACAGCTGTAAAAGTATGATCTCAATGAACTACGGCAGTGCCAAAATAATTGTTGTAAGTGGTACTTTAGAGCGGGAGAGAAGAAAAGTGTGGGAAGGAGGGGAAAGACTTCTTCCAAAGAATACTTGATTAGAACTTTTTGTTCAGTTACTTTTCAGTCATATAAAATAAGCTGCACTTGTAATCGTGGCCATAGGTGAGGAGTCAGAGATACACATGGAACATTTCACATTTTACACCCATAAAGCTATTCTTCAAAATCTTAATTCAGTTCAGAGATTTTAAATAGAAATATACGTATATCATACTTGGAAGTTTCTAGTAGTTGATTCAGTTAGTGCTTTGATGGAATATTATTTGACTTTGACTTATTTCTTTTTAAGAAAATATGTGTTAAGTTTAAAAGGATTGCTTTTACATATTTTCTTCCACAGATCTCTAGATAGGTGTCAAGATACTCATGTTTAGTAAATATTATTCATCTTTTAAAATTTTTATAAATTTTAGTTTGTTGGTGAAAGACAAAATTTTCCCATACTTTTGTTCTAAGTACTTGCTCACTAATAAAATAGTTAAGACTAGTGTTAACATTTAAGATTTTCTTTAGTGATTTCTTAATAAAATTCTCACAACCTTACCTCAGCCTGGCCTGCCTAGGTTTTTGTGGTCAGCTCACCATTCAAATTCCTTCCACTGAACTCTAAACTTAATTGCACTGGCACCCGCTCTTTCCTCATCTTACTTTTCTTTAAATCGAAGAAATGTGACCTCTTAACTCTGCTTGACAGTGGTTCAATTCATTAACTGCTCCTTTCTGGAATACCCCTTGACTGTTGTGGCACACTGCTCTTTCTGGCATTCTTCATTTATGAGGATCTTCTTTGCCTTTTAAGTTAGGGTTCTTATGTCTGTCTCTTCTCATTTGTACATTCCTTGGCCAATATCCTTGACTCCCGTAGCTTCGGGTACCATTTAGCTCAAATCTGTATCTTTTCAGATCTCTCTTTCCTGAGTTTCAGATCTGTCAGCCGGGCACAGTGGCTCACACCTGAAATCCTAGCACTCTGGGGGGCTGCAGCAGGAGGATAGCTTGAGCCAAGGAGTTTGAGCTTACAGTGAGCTATGATTGAGCCACTGCAATACAGCCTGGGTGACACAGTGAAACCCTGCCCCTAAAAATTAAAAAAAAAAAAAAAAGATGCAACTGTCTAGTGGACTTAAACATATATCTCACAAGCACTGTGAATTCAAGTTGTTAAAATGCTTCCTAAATTCCTTTTTCTTTTTTT